CGTACGTACGCACATTCACCCACTTTACATACTTTGAACCCAAACGGTTTTCGCATTCTTTTATTACACACATGAATGTCTTTGTCACTTGTATACCATTTTTGTTAATACATTATCATTTGTTTATAAATATATATTGGTTCTTGTCGTTTGTTTTCATTTCTTTACGTGGACTCACATACCGAGTCCGCCATCTTTGTCGTGGGATTTTCAAGAGACAACGTGTTATCCCCAATTTCAAATACCGACATTACTAATGCACGCAAGAAGTTTAGAAACATATAACCGGCCCGAAACATCATCATTATTAAAGGAAGAGAGAAAATGACTACGTTAATAAATATTCATTTATTCCGAGTACTTTTCGGCATTAGCAGTGTGTCATCATCTAACACAAAAATTGTTCATCATTGATCTAAGACAAAATTATTGGGCTCATCTGAAAGTTAAATGTTTACTTGCGAAGTGAAAAATGCTGTACGATTTAATTTTCACGATGTAAACGTCACGGGGTTAACTAAGTTATGATATCTCTAAATGTTTTGTTTTCTTTTTAAACTATTTAAATCTAATAGTTAAAACCTAAATATATTAAACTATCTACTGTAAACATTTTAAAACATTTGTGCAGTATTCATAATTAATTTCAATTAATATAAATAGCATCAAGAATTTTTAGGTTATGTTTATTATTTTCATGAAAACGTTTAAATGTATTTTTTTCCTAAATTGCGAATATGGGCAGGCATGCTATTGTAAATGTTCTGATATGTTTGATGCATCATTCAAATGAAAGCTCAACCGTCGAGACAACGTCGTAGTAGTATGACCAACATATAAAATCATTTGTTCTGTTGGAGATAAAATCTCCGAAGGGAGATTTAAATTTATATACAATGTTAGTTTTATGCAACACATTAGTTGGTGGAGAGAATGCATTACGAATGATTAAATTGGATATATTGAATTTAATATAGTACATAATTAATTTTATTTTATTTTTTACTACGATCTGTGGTGCATATATTACTATTTATTAGTATTTTAGGATATTTAGTCTTGTTTATAATTAGAATGCATTTGATTGCAACATAAAATATTAACATATTTAGGATTAATTGAAGATGTGTTATATTCTATTTGCTCTTTATTAAAATTTCGTATACAACATCTTATTTGTTCATCAATAATATAATTCGGGAAATTATTATTAATAAGTGTATGTTTTATATTTTTAGCTCACCGTAGAAAATCTGTTTTGTGGATGAATTAATTTTAGAACGGCTTATTAAGTTTTTTATTTATAATTTCTATTTTACAATAATTAAGACATTCACTCTTATAGGTAAGAGCGAACGAATTTATACTAGTAGGTTTCCTATATGAGAAGATAGTGAATTCAATTTATTATTATTAGTGTTTATCAATATATCTAAAAAAGGAATTTTATTACTATTATTAAGATCGTATGTAAATTTAAGGACAGAATTATTTTTGTGGTTCATCCATATTCTTGACTAATATAAGGATATCATCAACATATCTTATGTAGATGGAGGGTTTTTAAATTGTTAAATATATATTTTTTAACGACTAGACCTATAGAAATTGCTAAAAGTTGGGCCCAGAACTGAACCTATAAAAATATGATCTCGTTGTATGTATATATTATTTTTGTGATCATAGAATGGGACTTCGGTAGTGCAAGTTAACAGTAGTTCCAGTAATATACTAGGTCTAATTTTAAGTGGAGGTAGAGATGGATTATTGTATAGGTTTCTTATAATAATATCAATAGTTTCACTAACTGGGACATTAGTGAATAAATTTTCGACGTCAAATGAGACTATGGTTTCATTGTTAAGTTTTTCATTTTTTTTAGAATTTGAATTAATTCAAGAGTTGATTTTATTCTGAATTTACTGGGAATGTAGGGTGTGATAAGTTGGTTTATGATTTTTGTTAATTAATACACAGGAGTTGGAATTTGTGATATAATAGGACGAAGAGGATAGTTTTGTTTGTGTGTTTTTACAGTGACATATGGTCTGACATATGGAGTCTATAATCACCCACAATTTTAGGAAGTTTTAAACTGTTCTGTTCGGCATTATTAGCAATGATAATTTTGTTAATTTTTAATTTCAGTTGATTAGTTGAATTCCTGTTAATTTTTTTTTAAATTTCGTATGGTCATTGAGCATTTGTTCTAGTTTTGTATTATAATCCGATTTGTTTAAACCAACCAAGATGTTTGTTTTGTTTGCTTTTTAACGATTATATCCGGATGACTTTAATAGTTTTAAATAGTTTTTCTTTTCAAACATTTGAACATATCATAACTGAGTTACATTCCCTGACGTTTACATCGTGAAATTTAAATCGTACAGTACATAACATTAGCGTTTTTTACTTCACAGGTAAAAAAAATTAACTTTAAGATGACCACAACAATTTCGTATTAGAAAAATGATGAACATAACAATTTTGGAATTAGAAAAAACAACACCCTGATGATGACTAATGTCGAAACTACTCGGAATAAATGAATATGTATCAACGTGGTAATTTTCTCTTTTATTTTAATAGTGATACGATGAAGCTTGTCCGTGAATATGAGATGATCCTATTGAAAATAAGGAGACAAACTCGTCTAAATTATTCAATCACACACACACACACACACACACACACACACACACACACACACATATATATATATATATATATATATATATATATATATATATATATATATATATATAATTAGAATACAACAACTAACTCCATCAATAAAACCATTATCTGACGATGTTCCTGCTAGGGACGAAACACGGTACGCAAGTGTTTTTTTTTTTTTTCGTTATGTCATTATAATTATCCAATCATTAAACTGATATATAGATTTCTATATCAAATCTTCCAGAATTTATAATCTAATTATATGCTAATACGGGGAAACAACTCTACAATTAACCAAACTCCAACTACATTTAAAACTTAAAATTAGTTTTACTTGTGCTTTGTCTAAATCCTAATCAGCAGTTAAATGATTTTTAAAAATACATACTTAAAATTTATTTTAAAAAACTATCACGATAAAAGACGAAAAAAAAATGCAAAAAAAGTTTTGCATATCATCACCGTAAGATATTTTATAAAAATATATTTATGTATAAAAGTATGTAATAAAATACGCAGAGACACACAGACACCGTAGTCATTCTAAGCCTTTTCAGATGAGAGCAAGATATTTAATCCCATGTTAGGTTTGCCTATAAAAGAGTGTCTTTCAAACATCGGAAAAGACGACTTCTCATCCTGAATGGCTTAGAAATACTACTACAGCTCCACAATACAATTTAGAACATAAACACTGAAAAATATACTAACAACGAACTCCTTAATGTGGCTAATGAATTGAACGAAAGCGCTTTAGAAAATGATCATTATCTACAGTTTATACACTTTCTCAGTTCTCAGGAATGAAAAACTGTAAGAACATTAAAAGAAACAGATTAATTAGCTTATAATTTTTTTTCTCTCCCTCACACAGTAGAAACTCGGTTCACGAATTTAATTCGTTCCTGAAGGCCGTTCGTAATCCGAAATGTTCGTAACCGAAACTATTTTTCGAATAGGAATCAATGGAGGGAAAAAAGTCACAGTAGAATAAAATTGGAAAAGAAAAGCGCGGCACAACACACGAATGTATACAAAATGGCGGTCGACTCAGAAATGATTCCATTAGCTCGGCTCGACAATGTTGTTCGAGAACCGAAATTTTGTTGTTTGTAACCGAGGCATTTTCATCTCGAATTTTCTGTTGGAAAACAGATTTGTTCGACATGTGAGACGTTTGAGAACTGAGGTTTGTCTATATATATATATATTTTATATATATGTATAAGGATTTTCATATATATATATATATATATATATATATATATATAAAAGTGGATATTGAAGTCAGCAACCAAAGGTGACAGTCTGTTTCATGCTAAAAGCAATGTCAGACCATATACGCTGTTTTTTGTTTGTTTGTTTGTTTTTTTTTGCTCGACTATTTATATATAAGAATCAGTGATCATCCAAACAAGTTTTTCTATTTAATCCTTTTATTAGATTTTTTCAATTTTTGGATATTGTGCATTGTGCTCGATATCATTCACCACAGGAGGCGGTATCTTGAAGTGCATGTGATATAATTAATATATATATATATATATATATATATATATCAGTGTCGACTCTGGGGGTCGGGTTTGTCGGGCTTAGTCCAAGTTAGTCAACATTCAAGTATATCTATTTCAAACCAACAAAAATCTGTCGTACTGCGTCGTTTTCATTCTGGGACTTCAGCGGGATCCAAAATGAATTATTTTAACTCCATGCCTCAAAATATTGACCGAAATACATTTTGTTGATATTTTTCATAATAAAGAAGAAAGAAAGAAGAAGGAACGAAAAAAAAACAAAGAAAGAAATTAAGTAAAAAAAAGAATGAAATTAAATTAACCTGGCTACTCGGGCTCCGTAGATATGAAGCCTATCTGACCTGGAGACATGCTTAATAACCAATGTATTTCTTGCTTTAATTTTATAAATAATCTTTTAAAAATCTTCAATGACTTATATGTCCTGTTTATCAAAGAACACATTTTTATTTCAACTTATTGTTTTCAAATGTATATTTTAAATAATTTATTCCGTAAATTATAAGGATTTTTAGACAATGTATCAATTGAAAAAAAGGGCAAATATATTTTAGTTAGAGTAAATGAATCATCTTAGCATTTAAGCATTAATAGTATATTTTTCTAAAGATTGTAATGAGCCCGACAAACATTGATGACCAAGAGTCAACACTGATATATGTGTGTGTGTGCGTGTGTGTGTGTGTGTGTGTGTGTGTGTGTGCATGTGTGTGCGTGTGTGTGTGTGTGTGTGTGTGATCATATTTAAAAATTATTAATTGCCTTATTTTCCTATTCTTTCAGGGAACGTTTGTGGCAATCATGTATTGCTTTTTTGATCGCGAGGTGAGATTTATTTTCTTTTATGTCTTATTTTTATTCCTAAATGAAAGCATATTTATTGCCATTTCTCTTATGCCATCAAGTGGTGGTGTGGGGGTAAGCATGTTTGCCTACGTCCTGAAGGAACACGGCACTTAAAAAAAAAAAGAAGATACCCAAATTTGATTATCGATACAGTTCTCATTTAAAAGGATTTATGAGGAATTTGCTATTTTTTATTTTTTAGAGAGACCGATAATGACGTCTTTAAATCCCTTGAGAAAGGCAGAAGGGAAAGGATTATCCGCTCCTTCTTAAAGATTAAGGGATTTAGCATTCAGTTAAAGATATCCAGTGACAAAGATTTGACTTTGACATGGATGTCATGTTCTTAGTAGTTTTCTTTAAAAAGAAACATTTCTCAAATATAAAAATAATTCATAAATTACTCTTCTGTTAACTTGGGGCGCACCTGATTACCTTCCAGGGCGCATTAATGCGCCCGGGCGCACCGGTTAAGAAATTCGCTTCATGCGTGTCCATCAACCTTAAACAATAATCTTTGTCAATTTTATTTTTCAGTCTTTATGATGGTTGATACTTGATCTATCTCTTACTGTTACATCCCCAGGCAACGCCGGGCTCTACTGCTAGTAAAGATATAAAGTTATAATCAATTTCTTCCAAGTGTTTTTGGTTCTTGTTAGAACGATAATGGTTCTTGAAGCCTGCAAGTGACTTGCAATGCTTATTGTTTTGTACAGGATCTGACATGTCTCAATATTGATCAAACTTGTCAGCAATGGCCATACTCATTTAGTAATTTTTTTTTTGTTTTTTTTCTTATTTTTTTTCTACAGGCGTTATCAGTTATCAAGCGATGGTATAACCAGCGAAAAGAAGACCTCAGTGGTAACAATTCGAAACGCGTTTCCACTTATATTACAATGTACACGGATCCACTAACGGCAAGTAACAGTACAAAGACAGTAGACGCTGACTTACCAGTGTCACATTGCAAAATGACCAGTGACGCAGCTTCACCGGAAGAAACAGTCGAGGTAAGTTGGACGCCTCGGCGTGGAGCAAAGGTTAGTGAACTAATCTGGTTGACCATTAGCAGTGAGTTCGATCCTCACTGGATGTCCTGTACTTGCAAGCTTGTGCCAAAGCTAAGTTTAGCTTAGTGAATGACAGCATTTGAGGTGCGTTTTTAATATGACCAGTTTAAAGGGAGACATTTGCTTAGTGCAGTCGTTCCCAACTTTCTTTTTTTTTTCTCCGGATCGAATTTTCGGAATGAAAATTTACTCGAACCTTACAAAATTTAATGTGATAAAAAGTACATTTAAAAATAAAACCCAGAGAGAGGGTTAAAGGGAGATAAACGAAGATTAGAAGTCAGACCATTATCATTGATAACTCTCTCCCCCAATTTGCAAACCCTAGTTATTATATTCTTAAGACTTGAAATAATGCAAAAATAACACAATGATAAAACCAATCAATAATAAGTAATCTATAATATTTAAAATTTTGAAATCATATTTATTTTTGATCGTATGAATTTTTCGAAACTGTAAATCTTTGATTATCTTTCAATCATTCCACCTCACCTACTATCCTCTTCCGCCTCACCTGCTATCCTCTTCTGCATCACCTGCTATCCTCTACCGCCTCATCTGCTATCCTCTTCCGCATTACCTGCTATCCTCTTCCGCCTCACCTGCTATCCTTTTCAGCCTCACCGGCTATCCTCTTCCGCCTCACCTGCTATCCTTTTCAGCCTCACCTGCTCTCCTCTTCCGCCTCACCTGCTATCCTCTTCCGCCTCATTTACTATCCTCTTCCACTGCACCTGCTATCCTCTTCCGCATCATCTACTATCCTCTCCCGCCTCACCTACTATCCTCTCACGCCTCACCTGCTAGCCTCTTCCGCCTCATCTGCTATCCTCTTCCACTGCACCTACGAGGAGCGCCGCTCTGTTTGGGAACCACTAACTAGTGCAATCCTATTCGGAATTAGTGAAAAAATTGAGATAGATAGATAGATAGATAGATAGATAGATAGATAGATAGATAGATAGAAAAACAGACATTCTCACAACAACTGCAAGAGAAAATCGGGCATTTTTAGGAATTTCCAGCAGCTGAGTATATTATAATCTGAAAGCCATAGAGTATATCACTGATCGATAGCTATTTCATGATTTGACTTCGCAAACAAAGATGCGGGTCTTTCGAAGGCCAGCAAAGTCTACACAAGAAAAACGGATATTCGCACAGCGACATCAGAAGATGATCAGACCACAAGAAGACTTTCCCACTTATGACACTGTCTTTCTCTGTCTTTGGAAAGAGAGTTTGCTTGTTAGGGCGACAATGCCCCTCTGTTGAAAGCTTCTGTTTTCCACTGACGGTAGCTGATTTTACAGGAAGTAATCGATCTTTTCAAAGTATCATTTAATCTCTTCTCTGGCGTCTGTCTTCTCCACCAGCCAGAGACTAACTTGGAAGATGATAGTCTTTCACTCTCGCCATGTCGCTGACCATAGAATCACACAATAAAAAAAAGAAAAGCACTACATACACATTCCGTTCATTATTGGACAAAATCAAATTCAAGAGAATGCCGACTAATAGATTGTCATTGGATAAATAATTAAAGACTAATAATAATGTCTGCATCCTCTTCAATTTTGTTTCCTCTAATTATGTACCGCTTTCTTTTTTATATTGTTGGGCATGGTGATTTTCTAAGCGTAGCTTAGGTGTGGCACAAAGCCGAAAGTATGTAGCACTCTGTGAGGATCGAACTCACGACTCATTTGTAATTGTTCTAGCAGGACAAGCTTGCTCGCCATTACACCACGTCAAGGTGCGCCTTCTGTATACAAAATAAACAGTTTCTTGATTTGTCTGTTTCGATCGATCTATATCTATTGATCTATGTATCTATTTCAATCTGATTTGATCGATCTATATCTATCTATCTGTTTGGCCGTCTCAATCAGTTTCTTTCTATCTATCTCACTCTGTTTCAATGAATCAATCTTAGTTTCTTCCAATCTGTTACGATCACTATATATATATATATATATATATATATATATATATATATATATATAAGAAAGAACAGTAATATATATAATCCGGTGTTCTTATAGATATTTTTTATTTTTTAAAAAAAGTGCTCAATGTAAATTTACAGAGCATTAATATTATAAATGAATTGATTTAAAAAAATTTTTTTCGCTACACAGTTCTAACCATGTTTCAAAATGGAAGCTGAAAGCTTCGAATTTAATTTTGTAATTAAATTAAAAATTAGTTCATTTCATCCTCAAGCGAATTTTGGAGTAACTTTTAAAATTACTGGATTTTAAAGACACAGCAAAAATCATAATTCACGTTTCCAAGGATACAGAGAAATCCAATTCAACCAGACAAGGGGTGTTTGCATGTTCATTATCGCTGTAGATGTATCAGTTATTAATTTTAAAAGTTACTCCAAAATTCGCTTGAGGATGAAATTGAACTAATGTCTTTAATTTAATTACAAAATTAAATTCGAAGCTTTCAGCTTCATTTTTGAAACATGGTTAGAACTGTGTAGCGAAAAAAAAAACGATATTTTAAATCAATTAAATTTAATATATATATATATATATATATATATATATATATATATATATATATATATATATATGATCTGTTTTGATCGATCTATATCTGGCTATATATATCCAAATGTAAAAAAGAACGAAGTGTAAGATTTCAGAGTTCAAAACATTAATTTAATACAGGGCTCAATTCAAAAATAGAGCAATAAATATTTATTTATTATGCAGTGTTAAATTAGAACATGCACATACCCACTTACAAAACTGTACATCTTGTTTCAACGTTAAAATTTTTTTGACGTTTCATCAAGTGGGAAATCACGATGCTACTAAAATATTTTATTCCGTAATGCAGTTAACAAAGCACATCTCCCATCTTCCGTCATTGGAAAGTTTTCCCATAAAAGATAAAAAAGAATTTACATGTGGAGAAAGAAAGGAAGCCAAAGTGATTAATAACAGCGAAAGAGAGAAGAGAAATAAGAAGAAAAAGGCGAAGAAAATGAAATAAAGGTTGAAAAAAAGGGGGAGGGATATGAGATAAAGAAAGAAGGGACAAATTCAACCAATGGTATTCCGTCGAATCAGAGAATTTGAATTCTAACGTTAACCTAGCTAAAAACGGCCTGTGCTCGGAGACAATTATTCACGGAATGTAAAAGAGTACTGCGGTATTTTATGAAACGAACTTTCTAATATAGATTAGAATGCTAAGCCGATTTTAAATCTTTATATTGCCATAACCAAATTTGACTTTACAATATAAATTAGCATACTACATACATTTTAAACTTACGTAATTTTTTTAGCATAAAGCGAAAAATAATTCAAATAATATAACGAATAAATTAAAAATAAATTAAAATAAAAATAAATACGTAGTGAAATGGAGATAGAAATAAAGATAAGATAACATTAACATTAATATTAACGTTCAAATTTCAATAAATTAACTTGGGAAATGAAATTGATGTTATTGCACATAGAAAGGTAAAAAGAAGAACGGGAGATATAGATGAGCTTAGATCGAAACCCGACCGATTCGGCGCCAGTCGGAATTCTTACCCTCATGTCATCAACACTACGCCGAAAGTGGCTGCTAATTTTTTGTTTTTATCAATATGAACGAACATTTTAAATTTTTATATTATTATATTAATTTATTAATATTAATTATAAAATATTATTAAAGAGGTTAACTAACAATGTCTAAAACAAATAATGGAAAAATAATAAAAGCAACCAAAATAAAATTAAGATTATCATATATTACGGTTAACTTACAGAGGCCTATGGTTAAATTTCAAAATAAAATTAAAATGAGATACGTAATACAAGTACAACTAGGCGAGATTGACGAGGGTGCTATGTTTATAAACACAGGATTCGTTCGTAGATTAGAAATTTCTTTAGCAAGATTGTAAGGTTTATTCCTTTGTATGTTTACAATTTATTGCCGTTTCATATCTCCGATTCAACAGATTGTCCTTGTTCGAATATTTAATTATTTGTATTTTCTTCTGTGGGCAGAGAAATCACGATTCGTTTAGAGACCTCGAGATTCTAGCCTGTTTTAAGATTTTCCATTTAACTTTGGATGTTTTATCTTTTAATTCCCAAAAATACTTAGAAAGTGAAGTCATGCTTCGTTTATCTGCGTTATTAAAAGATGAGATGTGGTTATAAAAACGCTTTTTGAAATCATTCATTGTATTTCCGATGTAAAAGCTTTAAGAAGTTCTGGGATTTTCAAACGAAGTAATAGTACACCCGTATATTATGGATTTTGTTAAACACTTGTTGGATAATTGGCACTGGTTGGGATTTTTACAATTACACAGATTATTTGTAGGAGACATAGTAGGATCAGCCCTAGTATACCCGTTACTTTTGTTATATAATTTTAATATTTTAGTGTTGTGGGATTTCATTATTTTTTTTTTAATTATTTGTGCAATTATAGCTAAGTTTTAGTGTGTTACGGTTGAAAATTTTTTTTTACCTTTTATGGGAAACTTTCCAATGACAGAAGCGAGAAATGTGCTTCGTTAACTGCATTTCGCAAGGTTTTGAATTCAGAATTGTCCTTCTCCTAGACCAGTTGCCATCCAAGGCTATAGAACCCAGTCTGTCCTACTATTTACCCGGAAGGAGAAGAGGATTAATACCTTTTCTAAGAGTATAAGCACGTAAAGGAATGTAATAGATTCAACTGGAATTCGAGCTCGGTTCTCCGATTCCTCAATCCTCCACCATGCCCCTTATATATATATATATATATATATATATATATATTGGCACTCGTGTACTTTCGATTGTGACTACGGTCGTTATCAAGAATTAGTTCCTATACCAAAATATGTTTGGCAAATTCAGTCCTTTTTTATATTTTGATAAAATTAAATTTAAGTCATTTAAAGGTAACGTCGTCTGCAACAGTCAAATTGTCAAAATATTTATGCGTGTTTTTTCTTCATTTTATCCACACTTCAGCATACGATTTCTTATTTTATTTAATATTGTTTCTTTTGTGTTATAATGGCTTCTGGAATTTTGAGTCTTCCTTTGTGTTGAGCCGTATATTAATATGTTGGTTTTATCTCTTAAAATTTGTCTTAATTCTATTTTCCTTGTTTGTTATTGGTCATTGATCTATAAGCACTAAATTTTGATAAATGACAAGTTAGCCTACAAGAGAGTGTGGTGCATGTGTTAACAATGTAAGAATTTAATGTTGTTTGTTGATTATTAGTATTGGAAAAAAAAAAGACAAAAGACCTAAGAATATACAGATTGCTCCTGAAGTGCGGATTTACTTCTGCCTTTGAACTTCGCGAAATCATGTGTAAAAGGCTGGAAACTATCAAAATGTGATGTTCTCTACACCTGATTACAGCTTACATGTTTATATTAATGGGAAGGAGGCCAAAATAGAAACGGTCAAGTTATGACTTCACTTTGGCTGTCTTTAATCAATGTCGCTATGATAAATGAGATGAAGGATTTTGAGAGGCAAGAGGTCAAAAAGATAACCCGGTATTAAAATTAAACTGATCTTTTCTTCATTGATTTATCACTAAAGAATTCCTCATCTGGGCCTCTTTGAACAATTTCACATCCTATGCGATCTAAAAGTTCTGAAAGATTTTTGATTATTGCCAAAATTAAGATAATTATTGATCTCTTCTATTAGGGGTTCAGAAAGTAGTAATTATTAATTTCACTGCTATGAACTATGAGTCAAACAAACAAGACAGAACCATGGATGCGAGACTCAGATTTTTAAGGCATTTTTATTTTAAATTA